GGCTCGCAGAAAAACAATCTCCTTTTCCCTCCTCACACTGCCATTGAAGCATCCTTCCCACAAGTTGGACTTAAAAATGTATTCACCTTCAGCAACTATGGTGGGGAAGCCTGTGGATTAAAAAGATAGACTAGGTGACAAGCTTGGCAATATACCTGGCACATGATTAGCTCCATTTAGCAGATGGAGAAACCGAGGCTGAGATTTTCATAAGGTTGAGTGCTATTATTTAATGGAGCCCAGACTCGCACCTATATTTTCTGATTCCAGATCCCTGTAGCTTCTGTCCCCCAAGTACACAGGTCTAGATCCCTGTTAGAGTCAGTGTCAAGACCCAAAGGAACAGTAGATGCTGGGATCAGGGTTGCAGAGTAGGGCTGGGAGCAAGTGTGCAGGAGGGTCAGTCTCCACTCATGCTGTGAAGTGACTGCCCATAGGTAGGGCAGACCCCAAAGCCTTCAAAACCCTGCACACCGCCACCCATGTTCTCCAGCCTCCTTTGCAGCACTCCTGAATGAGCCCAGGAGTTTCTGAGCTGGCCTGGACCAAAAGCTCAATGCCAAATTTAACACACAAGACCTAGAGAACCACTATCCTATGATAAAATGCAATCTCTCTTAAGGATCTACAACTTCTGCACGTTGCCTGGGTGCTATAATAGTGGAAAGTCCGCAGGACAGAGAGATGTGTTTTGTTTTTTAAATTGTTGATGGCATTCAAACAGATGCTAATATCTTTTTACTGTTCCATTGCTGCAAATGTCTTTGCCCAGAGAAGAAAGGTTTCAGCGCAAGGGTTTCTTAATTAAATATTGCCTGATGCCAGATTACCACTCAGAAGGCAGCGGTGGGTTCCATTAAAGGATGAACTTTACTCCCACAGCTGACAGCTGATTAATGTGTTAATTAGAAACCCTGCCCCCCTTCCCCCAGTTACCCGAATCTTCTCATAAGCCCAGCAGAATGTATATATTGTGCCCATGTGGGTAACCTCATGGCATACTTTGGCTTTGACTTTGGACGTTTATATAAAAATGAAGGCTCAGTTGCCAATATGAATAGCTTTCTTTCTTTCCAGAGGAAATACAAGATGGAAAGAGTTATAGGAACCAGAAGTCCTGCCTTTCAGTTTTCTGGTATCAAGAGCAAGTGCTGTTTCTGCTGAGGCAGTGTCTTTTGAGCAGTTTAATGGTGTAGGTTGCCACACATTTATTTCACAGGAAAGGAGTGAATCCATCAGGCCACTGAGCTTATAAGTACTACCCTGGCAGTCAGCCACCAAAATATAAATACTCTAAATGGACTAAAGGAAATGTTCATTCTGTTGTTTAGAATTGGACACATCCCAGGAAGGTAAATTTAATCTTTTTGAGGACTGCTGTTCTGGGGTTGAATGGAACATGCATTTGTTTATCTCCTTTGTGATCTTTTTGTCTTCCTGGTGATACATTATGTATTTGTGATACGAAGCATTTCAGCTGTCTTGCTCAATGGCATCGCATTTGCTGATTGTTCAGTCCCCAGATTGGCATCGTTAAACAGCGTCAGCCCCCATCCAATCTGGGACCTGTTAGGGAGAGAAGGGGAACCAAAGAGGCCAGATTCCAACAGAAACAAAGCTGGGGTGGAATTAGGGGGAAATCATTCCTGAGCCCAGCAAGTTGAGCTCTGCACTTCTTGTCTTTATCTTTTAAAACGTCTGAAGGAATTTTGGTACTTATTGGCATAATGAAGAAAAAAGAAGGCCTCAAAAAGTAAAAATAAAATAAAATTAACGAAATGTAAAGTTGGTCAACAGGAAAAGAAGGGAAGAATACTCCCACACCACCACAATTCAGAAAACCTCCGTGCATGAGACACAGGCAGTGTATTTTGTGGATATGCAAATGTTATTTTATTAAAGAGAGGGAGATACAGTATATATTTTCACCCAGCTACCACATCTTAAGTAATCAGCTCAGCCTCTTATGATGAAATATTTAATTACTACAAGTGTGTCATTAGTTAGATGTAGAATGAATGATGGAACCGTGTGTTATTGCCTCACATGATATACCCATTTGTGCCATAAATTCATTGACCTCATCTTAAATGATGTGTCCTGTAAGACAGACTTGATTCATTATTTCTTAAGTGACAGTATTTTCCCCCTCTAATAATTTTTTTCTTCATCAGAAAGATTGCTTTTTGTATTTTTAGGTCAGTGTTCTGAATTGAAATGTAATAAGGCAAGATGATACACACACACTACTCACATTACCCCAAAACAGGACAAAAATGGCACGCCATGGCCTGAGCACTTGCAGGTGCTGCAGAAAGTCAAGCGCTGACATTAGGCCTTGGTTCCAATGGAGAAGTTTGATGAAGTAGAATTTTTGCTTAACTGTAATATCTGTAATTCTTCCTATGTGGAAATAGATCAAATATGGTGGGGAATTCTCACTTGATAATTAGGATAAATCTATGAACAATCCTTATTCATTAAAGAATTCTTTAAAATGAAGGAAATGAAGGGGGAACATTTAAGTTATATTTAGATGATTATTATTATTATTATTATTATTCACTCTGCTTGAAAATATTTACTTAGCTTGAAGAGACAGGGATCTTCAGGAAGTAAAAAAAAAAAAAATGTTTTTTTTTCAATTTGGCAATTTAAAAACCAATTAAGGAAAGCTCTTCCCCCTTCTGGTTAAAAAATAAGATCCAAAAGAAACATGCCAGAAAAACTGGCATATTGTTTTGATTAGTTTAATTCATTGATAATGTTGTTTCGTCCACAATTAAAGAAGTTATATTTGATATCTCACTTCAAGCTTGTAAATTCATACTGTAGGCTTTCTGTGGAGACCTAATATTGAAAAAGAGACAGGAAAATTTGTTTCATGGTAGAATTGAAATGTCACATCATTTTATATTAACTCTATTAAAATGATCAGACTTTAAAAATAACTTATGTGTATGGTATTTCCACTTCTAGTTTACTTAACCTTTACCTAGAAGAGAAATTTGAGGGTCTGATGGATTCTGTGGGACTCTTCTTATCAGAGGCAATTCTGCATGTATTTGTAAACTGGGCATCTCACTAATGGGAAAAAAAAAAAAACCTTAATTCAGGAGGAACCTGAAACATTGTAGTGAAAGACAGGAGACTATAAACATTAAAATTATTATTTCTTAACCACTTTAATCTCTATAACAGTTTTCCTAACTAAATTGAGAAGATGCCTTTCTAATCATTAAAGGTCACTCAGCAGTGTTCTCACTCTCAGATTTTTGCAAGAAGTGTTTTGAAAGGGCAATTTGATATGAGAACAGACAAAAAAACTAATGGGTGGCAATAAGTTTATTTTATTCAATCTCACACTGTCAAGTTTATTACCTGTAAATATAGTAGAGAAAAAAAAAGTGAGAAAGAAAAGAGTAGATTTGCACATACAGACCCACATCTGCCACGCGAGTATTCACCCACAATCACATAGCAGCATGCCACCACTGTTTACAATCAAGAAAAGCTGAGAGTTAAATGAGATGAGTAATCAAATGCCCAGCATATGTTGTTTTTGCATTGTTTATGTGACCAATCATTATTAAAATTTATCATCTTTTAATTACATCCATTTACAATAGTTAAACACACACACACACACACACACACACACAGACACAACAGAACAGACACTCTTCAAAAACAAGTTTCCTTTTAGAACCGTATTGGAACCAGTGCTTTATGAGAGAGAAACTTGAATTCAATAAACTCACCATTGCACTGTTTCACAATTCCTCCCTGGTGCTGTATGGCTTGTGTGCTAAGGAAATGACAAAATAAATAAATAAATAAGAAAAAGAAAAAAGATTGTGTGTTGTAAAAGTCTGTCAAAAAAAGTGAGGCACTGAAAGAACTATTGAAAATTTTGACATCTGTTTATCTGTTTATAGCTATGGCAAGATTACTCATATTAATTCTTGTTTAAAATGCCATATGAAGGAAAGACATTTGTGCAAACAAGAGTCATATTTGAATTGTAGATCATGTCTTCACCATCTGTGAGAGCTGATGGTGTTGCAAAATTAATGTGTTAATGAAATCACAATAATTTCTCCAAAGTAATGGGTTCTGAAGCCGAGAATGACTATTTTTTGAACTTTGATGTCTGGTGATTTCCAATTGGGAAAAGCTCTCAGCCTTTAATTAGTTCTGCAGCCCAACTTTAAAATAAATTTGGTGATGTCTTTCTTTTGCCAGGAGTATTTGAAGGGGGAAAAAGCCATAACAACTTTTGGAAAATGTTCTCTGGTGTTTGAAAAGTTGTTAAATAAGACTGCCTGCCAAGAAATGTCACCAAAAATTCTGACTACTGAGAAAGAGTGGGCAAACAGCTCAAAAAATAATTCTAGCTTGCTGCAACATCACAGGTTGGGAATAGCTAAACCTCACACAGACTTCATGACTAATTCCAAGTTTTTCCTTGGAAGCCAGACATAATGATGTTCAGTGCTTTGTGTTATTGGTTAACACAGCACACCCTTTCCAACTGCATTATTGGACACAGTGAATAGTGTAAAGTGACTTTGCATGAGGAGAATTTTAAGGGGTTATGTGTTTCATGCCTACCAACCTTTCTGGAGAATCCTTCCCTCTAAAACTATTTAGATTTGTGTTTACAGTGAGCCTGTTTGACAAATTAAAATGTGAGGGCAGGTACACTGGGCAGGTATATGTACTTCCATTTGTCAGAGCCATCTCCGAGACATGCTTAAAGAGGTCTACATAGTTTCTATAAAAAGTAAAGGGACTGTGATCATTGCTATTCTGAAGTTAGTATTTATAAAGCAAATGCATCATTTCACAACATTCCAGAATTTTACCTCTTAGAAGGAAATGCTTCAACCTATTTGAAAAATTATGATAGTTTAAAAGAACCTTTACATGAAATGTGAAATGCCATCTACCTAAGGAAATTGCTTATCTTACCTGATTTTTTTTTAACTGTGTTGTAGGTATGTGACTGGTGTAAGCATATAAGACACACAAAAGAATACCTGGATTTTGGGGACGGGGAAAGAAGGCTTCAGTTCTGCAGTGCGAAATGTCTCAATCAATACAAAATGGACATTTTCTACAAAGAGACCCAGGCCAATCTTCCAGCTGGGCTGTGCAGCACATTACACCCTCCCATGGAAAATAAAGCAGAAGGCACCGGGGTGCAGCTGCTCACTCCAGACTCTTGGAATATCCCGCTAACAGATGCTCGGAGGAAGGCCCCCTCCCCGGTGGCTGCAGCTGGCCAAAGCCAGGGCCCTGGCCCATCGGCGTCCACCACCGTCTCTCCATCTGACACTGCCAACTGCTCTGTCACTAAAATCCCCACGCCAGTGCCCAAGTCCATCCCCATCAGCGAGACTCCAAACATCCCTCCTGTCTCTGTTCAGCCACCTGCTAGCATCGGACCTCCCCTCGGCGTCCCTCCTCGTAGCCCTCCCATGGTGATGACCAACCGYGGCCCGGTGCCTCTGCCCATCTTCATGGAGCAGCAGATCATGCAGCAGATCCGCCCACCTTTCATCCGCGGGCCACCACACCATGCCTCCAACCCCAACAGCCCACTGTCCAACCCCATGCTTCCCGGCATTGGGCCCCCGCCTGGAGGCCCCAGGAACCTCGGCCCCACTTCCAGCCCCATGCACAGGCCCATGCTATCGCCCCACATCCATCCCCCGAGCACGCCCACCATGCCTGGGAACCCCCCTGGCCTACTGCCCCCACCTCCCCCCGGCGCCCCCTTGCCGAGTCTTCCCTTCCCACCGGTGAGCATGATGCCAAATGGCCCGATGCCGGTGCCCCAGATGATGAATTTCGGGCTACCGTCGCTCGCCCCGCTGGTGCCACCCCCCACCCTGCTCGTGCCATACCCGGTGATCGTGCCCCTGCCTGTGCCCATCCCTATCCCTATTCCCATCCCTCACGTCAATGATTCCAAGCCCCCCAATGGATTCTCCAGCAACGGGGAGAACTTCATTCCGAGCGCCCCTGGCGACTCCTCGGCAGCGGGGGGCAAGCCAGGCGGACACTCCCTGTCTCCCAGGGACTCCAAGCAGGGCTCGTCTAAGTCCTCGGACTCGCCGCCCGGCTGCTCCGGCCAGGCCCTGAGCCTGGCGCCTGCGCCCGCGGAGCACAACCGGAGCGAAGTGGTGGACCTGACACGGCGCGCCGGCAGTCCCCCGGTTACCGGCTGCCAGCTCGGCTTCCCGGGCGTGCTGCAGGGACCGCAGGACGGCGTCATCGACCTGACCGTGGGCCACCGGGCCCGGCTGCACAACGTGATCCACCGCGCGCTGCACACGCATGTCAAGGCGGAGCGCGAGCCCGGCGCCGCGGAGCGCAGGACCTGCGGCGGCTGCAGGGACGGCCACTGCAGCCCTCCCGCCGCCGGCGACCCGGGCCCGGGCGCCCCCGCGGGCCCCGAGGCCGCTGCGGCCTGTAACGTCATCGTGAATGGCACGCGCGGCGCTGCAGCCGAGGGCGCCAAGAGCGCGGAGCCGCCGCCCGAGCAGCCGCCGCCGCCACCGCCGCCCGCGCCGCCCAAGAAGCTGCTGTCGCCCGAGGAGCCGGCGGTGAGCGAGCTGGAGTCGGTCAAGGAGAACAACTGTGCTTCCAACTGCCACCTGGATGGGGAGGCGGCCAAAAAGCTGATAGGGGAGGAGGCCCTGGCGGGGGGCGACAAGTCGGACCCTAACCTTAATAACCCCGCAGACGAGGACCACGCCTATGCTCTGCGGATGCTGCCCAAGACCGGCTGCGTGATTCAGCCTGTGCCAAAACCCGCGGAGAAGACTGCCATGGCGCCGTGCATCATCTCCTCGCCCATGCTCAGCGCCGGGCCCGAGGACCTGGAGCCGCCGCTCAAAAGGAGGTGCCTCCGAATTAGAAATCAGAATAAGTAAAAGGTTTGTATGTCCACCTGGGCGCTCCTCCACGAGCCACTGCACCTCGCTTTGCTTTTTACAAGGCAGAGGCGAGAGAGTTGTATTAATAATCGTGATTTTTTTTWAAAAAAACCTTGCGTATTTTACAGTACACATTGTGTAGTCGTGTACTATCTACGTTTGGATCCAACAACTATGACACTGAGCACTTGCTTAGTAACACCAGTCCCTATTTACAGCTGAGGAAACAGCCACAGCATGTCTAAGTGTCATGCCCAAGGTCACTTGAGGGTAAAGTTCAGCCTTGAACTGGAATAAAAACACTGTTTCAATTACATTTTAATTTTACTATTAGGCTCATCTCTGTAATTCATCCTGCTAGAGAGGAGGAGGATGYGGAAAGGAAGGAGAGATAATTTTGGAACCCTAAATTTTGGTCATAAGATTTCAGTAGTGAAAAGCCCAGGGAACTCCTGAGCTGGGAGACCTACTACAGCTGGTAGCCTCATTGGAAGAATGTCCCAAATCATCATATTTTATTGATAACCATGGGATACCATCTATAGGATGAGAATAAAAATGAAACTTCTTACACACATAGATATGTCACCTGAGCCCAGGCCACCAAGCCACACTTGCCTGAAAAAGTGATGGAGCTCATAACTTCTTGTTTTCTGAAGTTTTCTTCCTTTAGTTTGGCACCAACCAGCGTTCTCCAATGCAAACCCGAATCCTAGCTTTGCTGCCTCCCCTTTTGGGGCTCAGTGGTTCAGCTGGTGCATTGTTCACTTCTGCAGACAGTGAGAAGCTTGGTTAGGGAAAAGGGAAAGGCCTTGCTRAAATAAGAGTCACAGATTTCAGAGAGGGGGGATAGAAACTGGCTTGTGTGACAACCATAGCCAGATGTGGCCTCATYTGCTCCTCTCACCAATCCTGGTAGAATAGGCATTGGATGCATATACCAAAGAGGAAGATGCAGCTTAGAAATCTTGCCCAAATCCAGCTGGTAAGTGGGGGAACTTGTATTCAGTTCAGGTTGTTGCCTGAGCAAGTGGGCTGCAAACAGGCCAAAATGCTGTTGAGTTTATCAACTGCCTATGGAAAAGAGAAGAGACATAAACATTTATTGAGCACTTCACTCGTGCACTGCTCCTTCCAGGGCCTGGGAGGATACAAAGGTGAAGATGATGTTGTTCCTGCTCCCAAGGTATTTACCATCTGGTGGGGATGGAAATCCAGGGGGCCTGGCGTAGGAGAGGCAGGAAGAAGAATCACTCCCATTTGTGTGTGCAGGCTCTCTTTGAAGTGCTTCTCAGTAGTATATATTTGGATCTGGATCCATAAGACAATTACATTCATTTTACTGAAGAATAAACTGGGGAAGGGGGGTGGGTTATGGAACTTATCAAAGATGATTKTCATGGTAGTAAAGCAGAGATGAGATTCAAGTGCAGACTGCCTGACTCCAGAGCTACATTTCCTTTACCCCACTGTAGGAGAATAGGCTAATAAGTTCCTTCCTTACTCTACTTACTGAAATTTTTTGTCCATCTCAGTTGTTCTGAGGGAGTTTCTTAAAAAAAAAACACCACCAAACCTCTATTTACCAATTTCCTCAATTGCTCAGATAATATTTAGTTCTTATTTTTCCAGCCCCAACAACAAACCTGGTGGGACATAAAACCATGGAGTGCAACCCTTGGTATGGTGTGCCCATCCCATTGTCTCTAGGTTGGTGTATTTACATGGGCACCTCACATAGCCAGAGGTTTGCTTAGGAAGCACAGAATCAGAGCAAGGGACTTGTTGGATGGTGTAAGAAGGGATTCTCAGACACCATGGTTTGAGGTTTCCTTTTCCACGGATGGCTTTGCCAGTATAAGTAGACTACTATAAATGAGTTATTCATTCCTTCTTGATTTTACATCTGTGAGTTCTGTTGTCTGAAGACAGATAGCCTTAGCCTTCTCACAGATAACTCAGTTGAAAATGCCCCTGATGTGTTCAGAAGAGTAATTTCATCTGCTTGCCAAAGCTTTGAGTAATGGGAAGGTATGTGACAAATAAGTGACCACCTTCAGTAAGTCAGAAAGCCTTGGGAATTACCATTTAAATACATTCTAATATCACTCAAATAGCATTAAAGAAAGATTGGGAGGGTGAAAGATTTTACTTCCATTAGTGAGTTGAAAAGTGACCTGGTCAAGAATAGTGACACAAGCCTATAAGTAGCATGGGACCAAAAGTTCATAAAAGCATAAAATATATGATGGCTATTTGGATGATCTATGTTTCTGAATAAAGAACCAAGTGAGGGTCTTACATGTGGACCAGGATCATTACTGAAAATATTAACCTGGTTTCAGCCAATTTCAGACAATACCTCTTGAGATTAGAGTTCTTTTTGTAATGGATCCCCCAAGAAATTACAGTTTTTCTCTAATGTCAGAAATACTCAGGCTTTGTTGGCTACTGAGAGGTGGCAAGGCAMGTGATTTAAGAGGGGGGAAGAACCATCTTTCCTCCACTCATTCACACCTCCTCTTGCCCTCAGTAGTTCCATGTCRCCTCACAGTGCAGCCTCAACCTGCCATAATTCACTCATACCCTCTGGCCCTTCCTGCTTTTCTGTGCACACRCAACTCAATGCTGTTTTTCTTCTATGTCTTCAGACCCATTCATATGGTTGGGGGAATTGAAATGCATCCATTAAATAAAGAACTGGGTAGCTTTTGTGCCCTGATGGGGCACTCTTTGATGACAAGTTAAAACCAAAGTGAAAGCATTAAGAAACCCAAAGCAGAATGCAGTCTGAGATKCGGTAGGTGAGAGAGGTGCCTGTGAGCAATGTCCCCTGTGCCTGTCGGTGATTCATTATGATTTCTCACAGGAGAGTCTGTCAGCAGCTCCTGTCAGTGTTCTCCATTCTTCTTGTTATGTCCACCTGTCTCTATAGCATTATGATTTAAAAAAAATTTTTWAAATAGATCCAAAGCAGACTGTATCTGAAAATCAACCCAGCTACAGTGGTCTTTGATGAAATCATCATATTTGTTAGTTCCTTGCAAATTACAGCCCTCCCCTCCCATTTCCAAGTTATTCTGAACCTGACTTTTTGTTTTTTTATTTGTTGATACAACTACAAATGATTTCAAATGATTTTTCTCCAGATGCAGAACTAATTGTTTAGTTGAAGATTGTAAAAGGTTGTAAACTCCCTTTAATCTTCAACTTTTAAGACTCTAAATACCAGTTCTGCAGCTTCTGTAGCTAGGGGAAAAAAGCATACCCACAAATAATAAGGAAAACAATGTATAAACATTTCTCAAACTATTCTATCCACAAAGAATTCCATTTATAAATGAAATACTCCCTTCTTTGTCTTTGCCTGGGAGCTTGGGGGATAGCTGTTTGTATTTGTACATTTTTCTGAATTTCTATAGTTTACACTTGTTTATGGTACATTGGGGAGTTCAGAGTAACCATTTGCARATGTTTGAATATATTCAAAAGAAAATGTTCCCCCTCCTCAGTTTTCCAGGGAAATGAAGTATTCTCTTTAAGTAAAATAATCAAAGGAAAAAATGTGTTCCAGAAATAACCCTTTTACCCCTGCTCTTCCATTCTCCAGGAATAACAGGTCCATACAACTTCCCACCTTTGTGGTTCCCAAATTTGTTTGTTTCTAGAACCATAAAAACATATAGAAAGAAAATATGAAACTCTTTTCTCTGGTCTTGACTCTATGATTTGGGATCACCAGTAAGATTCAGCTCTGCATTTTCTCTGAGGGAGCTGGAGGGGGGACCTGTAATGTTGACTTCTTAATTTGGTCATGCAGCCTCAATCYCAGAACCAATTATTGTAAGGTGAGGGGTTCATCTCATTAGGAAAGCCAAAAAGGAGGAGGTAGCAAGTAACTTTTTACCAGTTTGGTCTCTCGGACTGAAATTGAAGAAAAAAGTATTATTATTGTATAATAATATGACAATAATAGTATTATTATTTGAAACAATACTATGGTAGCCCACTTTTAAAGCAGAAGAAGGAAGGAAAACTGAAAGAGACAAGAGGAAATTAGMATTGACTGGATGTGCTCAGATTATGTGCCAAACTTGAGCTGTTTAAGGTTCCAGTATATAAAATGGTTGAAATGCTCATTGGTGACAGTCTCTGAGTTAAAGGTTAGCCTTGTCTGTCAGAATGCAGTTGGCCTTATAGTTTTAGTAGAGGTACTTCGAAGAGTCAATGAGAAGCCACCAGGTCAGGTTGGTGTCATGTCCACCSGTTAGTGGGTGTCTTTGTCAAGGACCTGAGAGTGTCCTTGCTGTGATCATTCCAGACTTGCAAAGGAAAGCTTTAAGGATGAACAGTGTCAAGATGGGCCATAGACATGTCCCATTTAATGAGCTGCTGGGTCCATGTTAACCYTCATGACAAAGGGCTTGAAAGGGAGGATTTTAGTGTGCAAGAATTTGACTTTTAGAGATCGTGTCAATCAGATTATGATGGAATTTGAGATAATATGCGACCATGTTATTATTATTTTCAGAAATAGTCAAAACCTTCCATCTTCAGCAGGCCTGGAACTAGGATGAGGCTAGAAAAGTGCTTAATGCATAAACTTTTAAGATGGACCCACACAGGGTGGTGCAAGTGCAGCACTAGTCCTGGATGTGATCTTCACACCTTCCAGTCCATGTGGCAGCTCCCCAATGCTGGTCTCGTGGCCCCATGGACTAGTCCATCTGGATGGCCTTTAGCAGCGCCCCCTGAAATTTTGTGGACAGTTTAATGTGCCTATCATAGAGGCATTCTCTTGGGAGAAGAGGTCCATAGATTTAGAAATATCTGAGTTGGACTTTTTCATTTCTCTGAGAAAGTCTAATTAATTGTAAGGTTTCTTTAAAAATTAGCATTTACTTTTGGCAATTTTTGCTATGGGTCTAATGTTGCAAAACCACAGTTGCAGCTACAAAAATGTAGTATTTGCCTTGAAAAGATTGCCTTATTGACACAAT